TAATGCAACGTAAGCTTGCTTGTGGCGAATGATGTCCTAAGCAAAATATTAGTCAAATAAAAATCTAAGGCAATACAATGATATAACACATAAGCAACTAAACAAGTTGAGGGCAAAGGATGAGTAAAACTTAGCAAGCAAAAATCAAACTAAAACTCACAACACGCAAGATGATGCTTTCAGATAGCAAGCAAAATAAAAATAAATGAAGCTTTGGAGCAAAACAATGATGAAATTTGAACAAAATAATAAATGAAGTAGACACAACAATATATGGCATAAAAATGGTGGCACAAGAAAGAAACACACAAAAAATGGGATAAGATGACAACCCAAATTGAAAATAAAGTGTGGGTAAGAAATAGAAACACGTCATTCAGTAAAAACGAGTGTAACTACCTCAAAATAATATCAAATCAAATGCTCCTCGCCAAAAGCTTACCCACAAGGACAGCAAGTAGACTTAAGGTGAAGGTGTTATTTGCTCTCAAAGTTCAGCTTACTACACTTTCGTTCTTCATAGGTGGCTCTAGAACATAAGGCGTTTTCGATATAACTTTCCAATGATAAAATGAAATGAGATGAAACAAAAATGGTACAAGTATACTAAATTAGATATTATGTTGTCATGCACGTAACCCTAGCATAGTCTCCTCGAATGCCTATGTGTTGTTAGGCGTGTTGACCCCAAGTTAGTTCGTTTGGTTTCTTGTTATTTTATTGTTATCGTTAGCACTTGGGTTCACATTAGTCTTCCATACTATTAATACAATGCTTAATGAGTGCTCTTCATCAATAGCTTGGATATCATTTCAAACCAATTATCATAGTTTCTCCTCGTACATAGCATTATAATTCCATCAATTGTGTATGTTGGGAGGAAGCCATGAGATGCCACATGGAACTGCTTCATGAAGACATGTTGGACCTCCACCACTCGCAAAGTAGGTGTGCAGAGCGTGTTGAAAAGAGGACGCCCTGTGCATCAGAAGGGGAAGACTGACCGCACTGTAAATACATCTCTAACGCAATTAGAGGTGCCAACAAACACACCCTGCGGGCGTCAAGTGTTAGTAGCATACCTCAGATGTCATTGCACCACTCTGCGATAGTAGGAAAAGAACACAGAATGTTGGGAGGGCTTCCCACACTCTCAATTGCCTATCTATCCTACTCCATTTCACTCACCTTCTCTCTATATATAAGAAAAAGAGCAACCCTAATTGAGGTAAGTTGATTTTTCCTAGACAACTCCTTGTGAGAATTCGGCACACGCTCTGAAGCAGACTCTCACCCTAGAGATTGCTACCATTCTAATATATTTGGCTTCATACTCATCTACTCCCAATTTGCAGAGTGCATTTCACAAAGCACCATATCAGTGCTAGATTTATGTGTGCAGGTAACCAAAAGTTTGGAGGCGAAGACGTTCGTGGCACCTACATGAAACTTTGCCCTCTACTAATTTAGCCATAAATCAGCATCATTAATTGGCTCGTCTATGGGAATGAGTTGATAACCAATTCACCTTCATAATTGGGTCAGCCCGGCCTAAAGAAAAAAAGGTCCGAGCTAGACCCAGGCCCAAGCTCTACGAGCCTCTAGCATTACTTGGGTTTATCTTGGGTCGACTTAACCACTAAGACCTAGGCTCATGACCCATTCCATAGGTCTTACTCAATGGACAAAAGATGGATCGACCCTTTAGATCGAGCTTAAATTAGCCCATATAATAAAATATTTTAAAAATATTTTTTCAAACTAAGTTCTTTTGTGTTTTTATTTTATTCTTTTGTACATTTTTTTTATTTTTCAAAAAGTTATCAATAAATTTTGTTTCATCATATTTTAACTTCATTTATTTTATTTTTAAATAAAAAATTATATTAATATATTAGTATAAAAAAAGTTAGAGGAATGAGAATGAATATAAACAATACACATAAATACTAATTAATTATATATTAATAATTGATACATGTATATACATACACAATATATAATAATAATAATAATAATAATAATAATAATAATAATAATAATAATAATATTTGATTATATTGGATCGAGCCTTTTGGGACAGCCCAACGGGTCGATCCAAATTCAACCCAAATGGGTCGGCCCATGGGTAAGCCCAATTGTAAAAACAAAGTTTCATATATATCCAATCTGATTTATGGATGAGTTGGGCCGTGTCGAGCCGATCAAACGTTGACGACCTTAGGTCAAACTTGGATCGAACCTAGGTTGAGCTTGAGTCAGCCTTTGGACTTCAGGTCCGATGATGAGGCTGATAAACAATGGACTCCATCCTTTAGAAACTAACAATTTCAAATGACAAAAGAATAGTCGGCTGACGCCTCCGATGGATAAAACTCCCAGGACCGCTGCAGGGTGAACGTGCGAAGTAGACCTTGTGGGCCTAGTAATCCAACTCCCTCTAGAAAAACGTAGCACACAGTGACAACTAGCCAAGACCGCCACCACAACTCAGCATGTGAGAACCTATCATGGGGGACCCAGCACACACGACCCCATCGGAGGACCTCTACCCGCCATGAAGTCGAAAATGAGGTCACTACCCTCTAAGAAGAGGTGCAAGAGCATCTGGAGGCAAGAGGATGCCCCCATAGAAGGAGTCAACTAAACTGGTGACCCTCCTCTCATCTACGACCTCATTAAAGGGAAGATACGCCTCCAAGTCACTCCTACAATGGATCAATTGCTCTTGGTGTGGTTGTGCAACCCCATGACAAATGACAAAGTCAATCAGGTTATGGGTTTTCAGACTATGTGTGGTTTGTGTGAGGCTTCAGGACTTATTTCTCATTTAACCAAGAGCATAGGAAGATTACCTAAGACAGGTATTTCATCAAACTCTAAAGGGCTATTTAAAAATGACTGAATATTTGAAACATATGAAAACTCATGGTGACAACATAGGGCTAGCGGGCAGTTTAGTTTTCTATCGAAATTTGGTTTCTCAGGTATTGACATGTCTGGATGAGGAGTATAATCTTATCATCGTTGTCATTCAAGGCAAAATAAAAATGTCTTAATAAAATATTGAAGTTGGATTTTTTACATAGGAGAACCAATTGGAGTATCAAAACACCCTGAAAACGTGTTCTAATCAATTAGGTTTAGACTCCTCCTGCAAATTTTATGGATGAAAGAAAATTCCAAGGAAATCACACTCCAATAGTAATCACAATGGTCTAGAGATCGTGGAAATCAAGGAGTGGTTGTAGTTAAACGAACCATGGCAAAGGCCTGTGGGAGTAAGTTCTATTAACAATGGTAATATGTTGGATACTCATTTTTGCTCCCACGGACCTTGGGAGACTGAGCTATTTTCTTGTAATTCATATTGACTATTTATCATTTGGCCTAGTCCTCGATCAGCCTAAACATTATTGATCCACTGTCGAAGTTAAACATACAGCACCTAAATCCTTGCTATCTCCCACGATCACGGTAGGCAACTTTATTTGGCAGGTAGTTAGCCTCAAATCGTTTTCTCTACTGAAGCATTGTTGGTGCATTGAAATACTTAAGAAACAACCGACTAGATATTACTTACATAATGAACAAAGTCAATTTTTTAAGGCACCAACCGATGCTCATTGGCAAGCTGTCAAACATATCGTTTGATATCTTAAAGGTACTCATACACTTGGTTTACTCATTCAACCTAGTGATTGTCTCCCTCTTATAGCTTACTCTAATGCTAATTGGACAGTTAATATTGACGATGGTAAATCCAATATTGCTTATTGTGTATTCCATGGTGACTCTCTCATGTCTTGGTCCTCTAAAATTTAGAATGCTATTGCTTGATCCAGCATCGAGTCTGAGTATCGTGCTCTCTCCCACAAGCCACTACAGAAATCAAATTGATTCACCAATCTCCTTAAAAAAAAAGTTTGGTTTAGCCTTGCCACCACTCATGTTCTCTAATGTGATAACTTGGGGTAGCTGCTTCGGCCTTCGACCTGATATCTCTAGCATGCAATAAACACATTGAAATTGGCATTCTTTGCATTTCGTGATCATGGCCTTAATCATAACCATGAGGTCAAATATATTCCTAATCATAACCATGAGGTCAAATATATTCCTTTTTCTACAGACCAAGTGGCTGATTGTCTCACAAAGTCTCTCACACACTCTCAATTTGAGTATTCGAGATCCAAAATCGAGTTGTTATTCTCACCCTCTCATTTTAAGGGAGATGTCAATGAGACCACATCAATAGGCTAAAACAAAAATGTTCTTGTCAGCACAAATGATAGAAGACAACAACATTACAAGGCTCAAACAGCATCTTAATTCTTCGTGAAAATTATGCATTTGACAAAGAGGGAAAGACCTGAAGACAATATAACAAAGCTCTAAAGTTTGATATGGCCAAAGCATTTGACATAATTTAGTGAACATTTCTTGAAAATATGGTGCAAAAAAAGGGTTTCTATGTCCAATTGTCAATTGGATAATAGAATGCATTACTACTACGTCCTATACAAAATATATGAATAGCTGTTATCACAAACGATAAACTATCACAAATGATAAACTAGGCACAAAACAATATGTTATCTTTTTTGTCTCTTTATGAAATTTGTGAGTTTTAGTCATGAAAAATTTGATTTTCATGAGAATTAGTGAGTTTTTTTAGGTTTTATAGTAGGTGATCAGTTACCAAAAATTGGACAAAAGGTTAAAATCCTAACACTTATCTAATTCTAAAGTCTAATATATGATGAACTTGAAAGACTAGGATGAAAATTGATACTCCTTTGCAAAGTTTAATTGAATTTTCCCCCTTAAATTAAAGATTTTAGAACTTAATTAAAGCATGAACTAAATATTAGGAACTAAATTATAATATGTAAGAAATTTATAAATTCTCTCTCTCTTTTAACTTAATTTTTCTAATATATATTGAATAATTAAATTGAACATTCAACAATATTTCCCTTTTTTTTCTTTCTATGCAGAACAAATATTTAATCAAAAGATAACAGGTACTGGGACAAAAGTTGAAAACAATTATGTCAGTAGGACTTTTCAGCGTTGGAATTCGTTTCCAGAAGATCATGTTCGCAAAGTGTTACCTGTCTCAGAAGATCACGTCGTTCCCAAACCACTTCATTAACCTCAACTATTTTAGTTCAATTTGAATATGATCATGAACTTGTGCTTAAAATTATTCAAGACAGTTATCTTATAATTGTTTATGGTTTGACTGTTGTTTAGAAGCATTTCTAGATGAAAAAAATATTTAAAGTGCTTTTGAAAAAGTAAATGTTCTATATTATATACGGGTGTTTTTACTTCAATATTTTACGTGAGTCTCTCATCATTAGCGTCTTCTCTCGCTTACTAACTACTTTGCATTAACTTTTTGTACCTTTTTAATGGTTCTAAGACATTCGAAGATAAAATGTTAGCATTTGGCTATAATTAAGGGAAAAAAATTTATCAGAACACTTGACTGCTTTTGAAAGAAGCAATTATTAGGTGCTATATAACAAAGTGTTTTTGGCTTAATTGTTTTATGATACTGTATCACAATTGACCATACTTTATCCAACTAATTACTCTATTAAATGCTCTTTTCTTCCACAAACCACAAATGTTTCTTCATTATAATTACCTTTTCTCACTTTTATACTTTCTCTCAACATCCCTTTCTCTACACATTTTTCTTTTACAAATCTATCACTACACATTTACTTTTGATAATATATATCTTCCAAGCTATCCATCACCTCATTTTAAAACTTGAGGTGTCAGTTCGAAAACCGTTTTTTTTCTATTTTTATAAATTGTGTTGGAATTTTTAATAATATGGATCACACATGAATTATTTAATATGTTTTTTGCTATTTAATTATAGCAAATGAAATGATTTAATTATGTGTAAGTTTTGGTGGATCTGATTCTGAGTAAAATGTGTATGTACTATAAATTAATTTCTAATTTGATGATGGGTCCAATTAGAAATAAGAAAATAGTATAACTGACCAGTGGTTTTTGGTCAGTTACATAGTTATGATCTCAAGTCAGATACTCCTTCACCATTGCTTTCTCTCCCTCTCTTGAGAGAGAAATGTCTTCTTCTTGGTCAGTTACATAGTTATGATCTCAAGTCAGATACTCCTTCACCATTGCTTTCTCTCCCTCTCTTGAGAGAGAAATGTCTTCTTCTGACTTACAGTACAAAGATAATTGAGGAAATCTATAAGGAAAATTGTGATCTATCTAAACTTGGAAGATCAACCTCTCAATTGACTTTAAATTATAGATACACGTATGTTTCTACTTCTTTGTATTTAGTTCTCTTTAATTCAACACGAGAAATCTATCTACGGCTTTAAAGTTTCTGGATTTTAATATTTCCAACCACTGGTATATCAGCTTACTCAATGTTGATTTTAGAGAATTTTGTTGCAATATGTTTAAAATTCAGGTTTTTGCTTATCATGGTGTCCTTAAGTGTTTAATGTGATACTAAATTGTTGTTCAATATATTGTTATGTAATAGCTTCATAATCACAGTTCTATCCTACAAAATTTTGAATAATGTGGTTTCTTTTTGGTGCCATTATGTGCAGGGATGGCAACCAGGCGGGGCTAGGGGCCATCCCCACTCCCGCCCCCGCTCCTGGGGCTAGGGACCATCCCCATTCCCACCCCCGCCCCTAAAATTTAGGGACGGGGACGGAGTATGGATTCCTAAACATATATTTTTTTTTATTTTTTAAAGAAATATTTATTAATATTTTAATTATTTAAAAAATATAAATTTTTTGTTTTAGGAAATATTTTGAAATTCAACTAAATAGATCCATCTAAATTTTTTGTTTTAGGAAATATTTTGAAATTCAACCGAATAATCTATATCATCAATTTGATGAAACTCGACGAGCTTTGTATCTCAAAATAGATCCATCTAAATTTCTCTTGGTCTTAAAAACTCATTTAAGTCCAATGACTTTCTTATCCATAGGTAGATGAATTAACTCCAGTTTGATTAGCCAATATAGCATCATATTCATATTGCATAGTTGGTCTCTAACGAGGACAACTCAAGGCATCTTTCATATTTGAAGAGGTTCAGAAAGAGTAAACTCAGACAGAAAAAAAAAATTAGCCTTCCATATACCATTTTTGCTCGAACCTGAGGATTAGTATTAAYTAGAAGGTGGTGGTGCAATATAGGTGGACAAACAAGATAAAGACAATGTACAGATGGAATGGAAGAAGGAGCAACTAAAATAAAGGTGGAGGAGATGAAGTGGGAGAAGAGAATGACACATGAAGAGTAGTAATAGGTGACTGAAAAGAAGGCAAGAATGCCAATAGTCTTGGACAAGAAGAAATAATGGGGAAGGGAGTCAAAACATGAGAAGTGGAAGGTGAAGATGTCCATTCTGAAAACGACGAATAAGGAAGGACAAGTTCATCATAGAGAACATGTCTGGATATAATAAACAATCAAAGAATCAATGCATTCATAGCCTTTGTGAAGATTGCCGTAGCCAAGAAAAAATATAAGGAGGCGATCGTCAACTCCATTTATGATTTTTATAAGGATGAAAAATAGGAAAAACGAAGACAGCCAAAAACCTTAAGTAAAAGAAAGTGAGGCTTGATTTGAAAAATAAGCTCCATAGGACATTCAATGAAGAACAATGGTAGGAAATCTATTAATAAGGTAGACAGACGTAGAGAAAACATCATCCTAAAAAGACATAGGTAAAGAGACATGAGCGATATTGCTAGTAATGTGCAAGTGCATGCAATCGTAATCAAGTAATAAATCTAAGTATTATAAGATATCCTCCCCACAAGGATTCTTTAATCACTCAAGCAAACTTTACTTTCTATTACGTCGCAAAAAGAAAAGAGGTTGGAAGAAATATTTTGATGGTATTTTATAACTAATTTAATATCTACTAAAAAAAGATTAAATAAATAATAAAATAACAAATCTTAAAAAGATAGACAGAACATAAAGAATAAGTAACACAGCTATTTGATTCCACGTCCCCCAAACACTATGAACAATGCTGCATGCAGCATTTACTAATTAATGGAATCATGCAAATCTTGATTTTAAACTTCACTCTTTTCTCCGTCAAGCTTAAGATAAAAGTAGTCAGTAAACTCATTTATATTTCTGTCTATACTTCATTTACCAACTTACATGCTCAATTTTCTACCCATTAAGACCTTACAATTGATATTACATCATGTCTAGAATAATTGAACTATATTACTTGGCGTTGACATGTTGCCCCTATCCTTGTTAGGCTTTAGAACAACCAGTTGTTCACTTGAGTGTTCGTGTTGAATATAAACAAATATATCAATAGACTTAGACTACTCAAAAATGAAATTCAATTAATAAGAAAATAACCAAACATAGAGTTCACAGCCAAAGGGAATGGTTCATACTCTAGCTAATAACCACTGTTTCAAGTTGGAAAAAAAAATAATAAATAAACTCATTAAAAGAAGCTACAAAACACAAAGAAGTCGTCGGAATCAAGGACGTCAATGGTCGCCTTTCAACGAACCCAATCTTCCTCTTCGCCTTTAGGGGTGAGCATAGAAGACTGAAAAACAGATCCGACTGACCAACAAAACGAAGGCAGCATTGGAAACTAGCAACAATGGCCGCTGGTTTTGAGTCTCAATAATTTTTTTTTATTTTTAATTTTTACTTATTATTTTTATTTTCTTTTATTTATCTTCTTTCTCTCCCTCATTTACTTTCTCTCTTCTTCCCTTCATTCCTTCTTTTCTTCTCATCTCTTCCTCCCATTCTTTTCTTTTTCCTACTTTCCAACCACGCAACCCACTCTACAGCCAACATCTTCTTCTTCATCTTATTCGTCTTTATTTTCACTTGCCACCGACGCATCCTACATCCTTCATCTTCTTCTCCGTTTTGCACCATCGCAGCTCCACGACCCCGCCTTCTTCTGATTTTTTTTTAATATTTAAGTGTCAATTTTCCGACAAAACCAACTAACCGAACAGATGATCGGTTGGCCAGTACAATGATAGTTTAAAAAATCATTGGTTTCTAGATTTGGAAATCGACTAGGTCAGTTTTCGGTGTCGGGGTTGGCAAAAAACCGACCCTGACTAACCGATGCTCATCCCTATTCGCCTCAGCTTCTCATGGAGAATCGCCTCACATGTCATTGTGTGAGATTTATGTTTTCAACTCCCTTTTTGGTAACGTTCCCAAAATAGTAGGCTTACTAAATCGGCCACAAAAGCCACTCTCACCCATGTAAATCAAATGATATACCTTCACAGGTAGGAGTTCATAAATCACTCAAGGTTAAGATCAAGACACATATGATCAACCTATGAAATACTTATCTTATGTTTGAACGAATTTACAAAGAAAGGTTAAATATTTCATGGTCTATTCTTATATATATAAGCTCATGAACGATTTGGATCAAATCATCTGTAATATTTATTCGGTCGTATTAATAGTATTTCTAGGATATAGCACCCAATCTTATCCATATATTATAGACTATTAAAGTTAAAGCTTGAATATGATCCTGTTATGTATGTCAACTACATACTGTTAAAGATTACATTTATAACCTTGAATTTTCACAAAATTGGATAATATTTGAACATAACCAAGTAAAATCAAATAACTAGTTTATTTGTAAATAATTAAAAGTTTACAAACGACGAGACTTTTAAGGCATAAATCCTAACAAGCCAAAATCACATTCCACACACTAAAGAGCAAACTTGGTGTTCGGTCCATTCCTACCTCCCATTTGAACAAAGAATGAAAATAAGCCAACTAATCCCGATCATTTATGCTCCACAAGTTTCCAGGTCAATAGCAAATTTCAATTCCTAAACTTCCTCATGTCAGTAGCAACTCCTCCAGAGCAAGTGAGGCCAGCTATCTTTACTCAAAAAAAATAAAAAATAATTAATTAAAATAAAAAATAAAATAAAAAGGTGAGGTAGCTTCGGAAAATAATGGAATTATCAATTTTTTTTGCAAATGTAAATACATTAAACAAAAAGATGAAAGATCTCACAGCCCGAGATCAAGGCACAACATCCAAATGGCAAACATAAGACAAGAAGACAGAAAAGTAAATCAAGAAAACAAATCCCAAGCTGAGATAAACATAGGATCATAACTCAAACAGCAACTCCTAGGCCAGGTAGTATAACAATAATAGACTCGGGGAGAATAACCAGCCTAAGCAATCATGTCAGACTAGATCTCCCAACTAAAGGGACATCCAAAGAATA